CTCTCCCAGGGGACATTTGACGATATTTGGAGACATTTTGGAGGTCATCTAGTGGGTAGAGGCCAGAGGTACTGCCAATTCAACTACAAATGTAAAGGAGAATCCCCACAATAAAGAACTACTCAGCCCAAGATGTCAGTAGTGCCAGGGTTGAGAAACTCTGCCTTAAAACAAGCATGAAAGACAATTATTATTATAAAACAGAATTATAGTTATCAACCTCAGTCATGTAAATGTAAAAATATAGCTTATGTGACACAAGACGGAAGGATAGGAGGACAAGGAAAGGTGTGTGGGGTACTGTCTACATCTTACATAAATAGGAGACTGAAATTCTGAAATTAATGGAATAATGAATGGAAGGTGGGTATATTATTCAGAGTTAAAAAAAATAGTAAAACTATGAAGATGAAGAAGGGGAAGGGAAGGAGAATAGGGAACTGTAAGGAGACAACAAATATTGGCTAAAATTGATAAACAAAAAAGTGATATTTTAAGCATTTCATTTGAAATTATAAGGTAATTTCTGATGTAGGTAACCACTGATGAGGTCCAGGACATGCTACCCCAAAATATGGCACGTTGGCATATTGAATATTTTAAGCTGAAGGAGCTTGAGAAAAACGGCAAAATCAGGAAGGTCACTTTGACCTTTCCTCCATCCTGCTCCCGTGAGACACGTCATAAGATCCTCGGAGAGAGGTGCTCATATCATCCTTATCTCCAAAGGTAAAGAGAAACTGAGAAGAATCCTAACAAACAGGGCTTGCTAAATTCCCCCTAGTTTATTAAACTTATCTCATACCCCCTGACATACCACATTTCTTCACAACCGTCCACTCTTCATCAAACCTGGTATAAAATTCTCAGTTCTGTTTCTTTAGGTCCTCATTTCCTTGTAAAGGCTCCCGTGTCATGTAAAACTCATGTTAAATAAATTTGCATGCTTTTCTTCTGTTAATATGCCTTTGTCGGTTTAATTTTAGGATCTAACCAGACACCCAAAGAAGACTGAAGAAAACTTTTTTCTTCCCTACAGCACCAGAAGAACTGAAACTTGGTTCCTTGACTTGCATATTTAATGTTCCTAAGATTATGGCTTTTGTTTTTTTCATTTTGGCTGTATAGCAAACTGTTTTAATCCATAGTTGTAATTTATGGTTCCATTACAACTGAATTCTTCAATCTATCAATAAATACTTGTAGTTATAACAAAAAACAGACAAAAAAAGTTAAGGGCCCGCCGAGTGGCGTGTTGGTTAAGAGCTGGCTTGGGACGCCAGAGGGCCCCGGTTCGGATCCCACATATGAGGGCCAGTGATACTGCCCTCCACAGCTAAGATGCTGAACAACAGCTCAACCTGGAGCTGGGCTGCTGGGAGTCGCCAGCGACGGCGTAGGCTGCAGTCCCTGTGGCAGTG